GGGGGTGAAAGCTGCCTCCCCTGTGGTGGTGACACTGGGGGAGCCCTAAAAGAGCCCAGGCAGAGCTGGCGTTTAACCCTGTATGTGGTAATTACAGATTTCTTTGTTTAAATACGTTGGTTTTTTGTGATTGTGGGGTCCTGGGCTGGGGTTTGAGGGTGCCCAAACACCCACACAGCAGCTGCTGTTCCCCCTCTTAGGGTTTTCCCTGATCCCACTGCTCCTGGCATTGCCCCTGTCCCCCTCCCTGCACCCCAAACCCAGGCTGCCCCAGAGCAGCTCCTGCTGGGGCAATGCAAGTCCCCAACCCCAGCCCCAGCCCTGGGGGCTCTGCTCTGTGCCCCTGCCTCTGCCCCCACCCTTTCTGGCACCACACAAACCAGGGATAACTCCGGTTTGGGGGATAAGAGAGCACCGCAGGAGGGAGCCACGCTCGCCCTCCCCAGGAGGTGTGCAGTGGTTTATTTGGGGGGGACATGTGCACAGCCATGGGCATAGCTGGGGGAGCACCAGTTCAATCTCAAACCATTGCAACGGCTGCTGGCACGGCCAGGGCCAGCTCTGGGACACCTTACCAGAAATATTTAGTATTTTTTTTTTCTATAAAACACTACTCACAGTCCAGAGGAGGCAGCCCAGCTCCCAGGCCATGGCTCAGCAGCCTGAGGAGCCTTGGCCTGTCCCCAGATTCACAAAGAAGAGGAAATGGGGGTACAAGAGGGGCTGAGGGCTGCTGGGACAGCTGCCACCCTTAAGTGTGACCCCCCCACAAACGCTGCTGGGGTGGCCTCGCGCCCCTGGGGCAGCACAGAAACTCCTGGAGGGGGAGCATAAATAAATTAACATGAACAGAGCAAAAGGGTCAAACACTGCCAGGGATGATGGGTGGGCAGCCCCTGCTGGACCACAGGAGGGGATGAGGGATGGGAAGTGATGAAGGTGAGGGCTGGGCCGAGGGCTCCGCATCCGACCGCATGCTGAGGGCGTCCTCAAGCACTGCCCAGGGTCAGTTGTTGTTCATGATCCACCAGGAAGCTGGGGAGAGAGGAGGGGGATCAGGGATGCGCAGGCAGCGTTCACCAGGGGATTGGGGGTTTAGGGGGGGCAGAGGCCAAT